AAAAAAAAAACAAAAAAAACCCCCAAAAACCCTTAAAAAACATAAAAAACCACCAAAAAAAACCCTTAAAAAATCCCTTAAAAAAACCCCAAAAAACCCCCCAAAAAAACCAAAAAAAAACCCAAAAAACCCTGAAAAAAACATAAAAAACCACCCAAAAAAACCCCTTAAAAAAAACCCAAAAAAAACCCAAAAAAACCCCAAAAAACCCCCAAAAAAATCCCAAAAAAAACCCCAAAAAAACCATAAAAAAACACCAAAAAAAACCCTAAAAAAACCCTTAAAAAACCCCAAAAAACCCAAAAAAAACCCAAAAAAAACCCAAAAAAAAACCCCAAAAACCCTGAAAAAAACATAAAAAACCACCCAAAAAACCCAAAAGACCCCAAAAAAACCCCCAAAAAATCCCAAAAAAACCCCCAAAAAAACCATAAAAAACCACCCAAAAAAACCCCTAAAAAAAACCCCAAAAAAGCCCAAAAAAAACCCAAAAAAATCCCAAAAAAAACCCAAAAAAACCCCAAAAAAACCCAAAAAAACCCCAAAAAACCCCCCAAAAATCCCGAAAAAAACGTAAAAAGCCACCAAAAAAAACCCCTAAAAAAAACCTTAAAAAAACCCAAAAAAACCCTAAAAAAACGCCCAAAAAAATCCAAAAAAAACCCAAAAAAACCCCCAAAAAATCAAAAAAAACCCCCCCAAAAAAACATAAAAAACCACCCAAAAAAACCCTTAAAAAAAACCCAAAAAACCCAAAAAAATCCAAAAAAACCCCAAATAAAAACCCATAGAAATCCCAAAAAAAACCCCAAAAACTTGAAAAAAACATAAAAAACCAACCAAAACCCTTAAAAAAACCCTTAAAAAAACCCTTAAAAAAAACCCAAAAAACCCCCAAAAAACCATAAAAAAGCACCCAAAAAAACCCTTAAAAAAACCCTTTTAAAAACCCCAAAAAACCCCCAAAAAATAAAAAAAAACCTTAAAAAAAACCCAAAAAAACCATAAAAAACCACCAAAAAAAACCCTTAAAAAAACCCAAAAAACCCCCCCAAAAAACCC